TTGGACGACAGGTAATTCAAAACCTTAATCACCAGCAAAAAGTGGTGATGATGGTGTTGAATGGGCTCCATAATCAAAAATGCTTCTTCAGTTTCGTGAATTCTCATTGCAAAAGCTTTAAATTAAAGTAATAAATATTGTTCCCTAATGAGGTGTAAGGCGGGCAACGGATTCTCAATATAAATATTATAGTCCAACAAATAATTTTAAACATAGTCATAAAAAATTTGGTTTTATGAAATTTATTAAAAGAGTGACGTTTCGTCTTTATTCTGGAGTGTTTGTCGTTTAATTCTTCGAGGAGTAGTTTGCTTTGAAATTGTCGATAGGCGGTAGAACTTCGCAGACGGCGATTTGCAGCCTTGAACCACAAGAAACGTGGTATTGCTGAACGCTTTTTACATGTTGTAAGAAATTTTAAGTCCAATTTAGCATAAACAATTTGGTTTTATGAAATTTATTAAAAGAGTGACGTTTCGTCTTTATTCTGGAGTGTTGTCGATAAATTTCATAAAACCAAATTGTTTATGAATATGTTTAAAATTATTTGTTGGGCTCTAAAGTAATAATTAATATATTTGTGGCTGCAACACAAAACTCTTGCTAATGTGTTGGAAAATAACTTGTGTCTTAATTGGTGTAAATTATTACAGAAATTTTTTTCCGATTAATACGTGAATTGTAAAGTAGGAAAAGTTAGTAGTTAGGCCAAATCATCTTTTTGTAAAAACGCTCACGTTTCTCAATTGTGATTGGCAGACGTATTTATGTCTGCATTATTTATGTCTGCGTTCTCGTATCATACGCGTATTACGTACGTAGTATACCTGGTGTGGAATTCTATGTTATTCCACTATTATTCAACAGAAGGTCTTTTCCAGGATAAATTTTGGTCAACATTTAAAGCTAATGTTTTACTTTCTGAAACCTGTGTAATATTTTTTATCGACTTTAATGTTAATTTTAGAGACTTTTCTTCTATTTAGCATTTGTTTTGAGTCGATTACCATGAATTCAGTTTTACCAACATCGAGAGTTAAGCATGGCTACTAACTCTGAATTCATGATAGTTTCGACTTCAGTAACTGTTTCACCACTTGCAGTTAAGTAGGTTTGTCTCGTCCCCAAACAACTATTCGAGAATGATACGTATATGGAAAGGGAATGATAGGCGTTTATAATATCACGACAAAAAGTGCCTTCTATTAAAATAGTTTTCGATTCATACGAATAGAATATACGTTTATTAATAACATGCTTATATGGATGTGCATCTTGCAACATCAACCATCGAATCAAACTACGTTGTAAACTCGGTCACATTCACAACAAAGTTCCTCGTCGACTCGAGAAATACAGAATAGCCGACTGTCGCTTGATAGACTTACACGCAAGGGACAAAAAGAAATATGTAATATATAAATCGTTTGAGCGCGGTGCTCTGGAAATTTTAGAGATTTAAGCCTAGGCCACACTATCGTCTACATTTGCGAAAACGAAAACAAAACGAAAATTCGTGCACAAAATACATGCCAGACACGACGTAAAATTGCAAGCATGTTTACAAAGATCGGCTAAAACGTAAACAGTATTATTGTTGGATGTGCCTATGTAGTAGCCTTTGCAGTGACAAAACAAGCAAAAAAGAAAAGGTGTCTTCCTCTGGTAAAAAGATACTCCTTCTGAAGTTGAAAAAAGGCATTTACTGCCATTTAGCAAGATACTAGATTCACCCAATTAATGAACGATTTAACAATTTGATTAAAGAGTTACGAGAACCGAACAAAGAAAAGAGACTCATAAAATACTTGCGAGTGACGACAAATTGTTTTTTCTCACATCAGATTTATTAAAACCTCGTGCCATCCTGCCATCTTTGTGTAGTAAAGTTTTAGATTATTAGCCAATTGCATGCGTTTTCGTTAACGAAAAAGGTAAAAAATTCAACTCTTCTAATCTGCACGAAAACGAAATTTTCGTTCAAGATTTTCGTTGCAGCAGTTTTCGTTCTAATTTTCGTCGATATGGAGGATAGTGTGGCCTGGGCTTTAGATTCAGCGCACAAACGAGTAAAAACCATACACGCGTATCTGCGTATCTTACAGTAAAAAAATGCTTTGTCAAATGAAACCACTTTTTATTCAATACGGACACTATCAGAGATCGCAGACGTAGATACGCATGTGTTAAAACTATTTTCTCATGTCTGCGGGGACACGTTTATCACCTTATTCCAAAGAAAGAAAAGCTACTAATATTAAGTAAGGAAGGACAGAAATACACTGAAAATAGCCGCGAATTAGCACCGAGCAATTGTCCTGTAAGCAGACAGACTATTTCAGCCGTTGTCAGCGGTTCAAAAAAACGATACGCGTATAAAATAGAACGATAAACGTATGATACAAGAACGATACGCGTACGATACGAGAACGATACGCTCATCATACGCAAAATTATGTTAAAAAATACGCGAGCGGTACCGTTCCCGATTGAGGGAGTTTCTCGAATAACTCAACTCCATACAAACAAGTCCTTATTTATTTCAACTTCATTTTAGGCACTTATCGACAACGCTGGCAGTTGGAAGTCGAAAGGCAGTTGGAGGAACAAAATGCTGGTACGCCAATGGATTTTGGTGTAGAGCAATGGAGTGAAGACTGGAAGAAAACAGTCGCTGTTCTAACAACAGCAAAATCAACTACACACAACAGCTTCCATTCTCTAAAGGAGATTCATATATTTACCTTAGCTAACGTTCTTCGAAGACCAATTCTTGTAATATGTGCCAATTTTTATCGTGGTGACTATGATGACCAAATTGCTGGTGTAAACCTTAGTGGCATATACTTACCACTGTTATCTGACTCCGTGGATTGTATCAAAACTCCTCTTTTGATCCGCTACCACCATGGACACTTTACAGAACTTGTGTTGACAGAAAATAATGAAGGAGTATCATTAATGAAATACGATGGCCAGCTCATGAAACTCCGTTGTTTGTTACGAGAGGAAAGGAATTTCTCAGATCGATTACTGCGGGAATATTTGAATTGTTTTAAGTTGAATTACACAGATGAAAATGGGTGTATAACGGAAATACTTGTAGCTAAAATGTAAGCCCGTGATACTTGTGGTTAAAATAGCCTTGTGGAAAGTCTTGCATGGACGCTGTTCTAACGATATAAAATATACAAGACATTCAAGAACTTTAGAAAATATGTTTAGTGAACTTCCAAGGTGTAATATATCATTCAGTCCAGGAAGACTAAAAAAGCGTTTTTACTTGAGAAATGCTCTCTTATGTACACGAGCTTCCATCTATTAACTAGTCATTATACATACCTTAATTATACTAACTATTTATACATACATTAATTATACTAACTATTTAAACATACATAAGTTATGGTAACTATATTATACAAGGTTCTATTCTTTGCTTTCAAGGTGAATAAGATGAATTGCGTAAAATCAGTCAAGACTCAGATTTTGCCTTTCTCTACTGTCTGTACGCTCTCTCTCAAGTTGTATATCCACGACGAAATTAGAATTTTACAGTCAGTTAACTTACTTCACTATATTTTACACTTGGAATGAACCCTTCAGATTATAGAGAATTGCAAAAAATAACGTGCTCACGTTTATGATGATGTTACAAATTTACCACGAACTATTGAATTACAAAGATTTTACTTTCTGGGGTGCAGAAATTTTTTTTAAAAATTGTAGTTTTTGGTCTATTTCTATGGCTCTGATTAAAACTTTATGTTGGGCATTAATTTTTATTACACGAATTCGATTTCCGCTCGGCAAGTCTCTCGCTACTAAGTATTTACTGTGCTAAATTGCAGTCTTTGCATGTTGACTAAACGGAAAAACGCGTAAAGAGATCGTATGAATTATAACTACAGCACATTGAAAATGCCTATCATTAAATCCTTTCGTGTTACCGTTACAATAACGTTTATGTCTCATTGGAGGTTGATTACGGCTGAATCATGCAAAAGTTAAACGTCTGCTGATTTCAATGGGTTGCATTTTGCATGCACCCTGTAGATACAAAGGGTGAGTTTCAATATATTTTCATGCTTTCACCCAACTTTGTTAACCAAAATATAAATTCTAAAAGTTAAATGTTTAGTTATAATGGTACCAGCCTTGTATGAAACAAGTGAAGATTTGATCATTCTACAAGTTAAATGTTTAGTTTTAGTGGTGGCAGCTTTGTATGAAACAAGTGAAGATTTGATCATTCTACAGGTTAAATGTTTAGTTTTAGTGGTACCAGCCTTGTATGAAACAAGTGAAGATTTGATCATTGTACAAGTTAAATGTTTAGTTTTAGTGGTGGCAGCTTTGTATGAAACAAGTGAAGATTTGATCATTCTACAGGTTAAATGTTTAGTTCGAATGGTAGCAGCCTTGTATGAAACAAGTGAAGATTTGATCATTCTACAAGTTAAATGTTTAGTTTTAATGGTAGCAGCCTTGTATGAAACAAGTGAAGATTTGATCATTCTACAAGTTAAATGTTTAGTTTTAGTGGTGGCAGCTTTGTATGAAACAAGTGAAGATTTGATCATTCTACAGGTTAAATGTTTAGTTTGAATGGTAGCAGCCTTGTATGAAACAAGTGAAGATTTGATCATTCTACAAGTTAAATGTTTAGTTTTAATGGTAGCAGCCTTGTATGAAACAAGTGAAGATTTGATCATTCTACAAGTTAAATGTTTAGTTTTAGTGGTACCAGCCTTGTATGAAACAAGTGAAGATTTGATCAGTCTACAAGTTAAATGTTTAGTTTTAATGGTAGCAGCCTTGTATGAAACAAGTGAAGATTTGATCAGTCTACAAGTTAAATGTTTAGTTTTAATGGTGGCAGCGGACGTTTCCTATTTTTTGCCTGGCTTTACAGTATCTTTAGCAGCTATAAATGTTTTTAAATCATCAACAAAATGATCAATTTTCTCAAAATCTGACTCAGTTTAACTTTGCCAACATTTTCAATGTTTCTCTCTGATTATAATTCATATTCTCACAGTTGTTACTCATACAATGTAGGTAAAAAAGAATCTTCACTGAGAAACAAAATCAAATATCTTCTAGTCAAGCATAAAAGATGAAATTTTTTAGATATTAAAGACGCCAGACAGTTGTGTTTGATACCTTATTGCCTACTCTCTTTGTGCTTTTCTTACGTCAGGTTTCTGATTGCGTTTGGCCAAAATAGTTTCAAGAGTTGCACCCTGGATGGCTCATTGGAATTTAACATTTCGTCTCATTCTCTTTTTGGAGACCTCTTCAACTGAGCCCTTTTTGTGTTTTCTACAGTAAAGGACAGTCCATGAAATCTTTCGTGGATTTCTTCTCATCAAGAAGGATCTCTCACATTTTTTGTCCAGGAAATTGAAAGACTATTAAATTGATGTATAAAACATTTATTGGTTATGGCAAAATAATATAGATGTGATTTTACAATTAAGTTTTCAAAGTGTGTTTTAAAAATTACTATATATCAACAAAGGGATAAATTAAGCAGTTCTTCTAAGTTGAACATTATAAACGCAAGTACCTTTCCATCTAGACGTATATATCTTTTTCCATGACCTGGGTAGATTTTGTAGCTGCATACCTCGAGTCTGGAAATTTAAAGAAAATAACGAAATCATCAAATACTACGAAGATCAAATGAGAAATATTACAAGTAATAATAGCAGTCTCTGCGTAAAGACTTACGAATACTTACAAAACAATTAAAATCGACAAGTTTTAATCGCCGATTTTTAAAGACTCCGGGACGTAAAACCGCTTATATCGATTCAATTATGAAAAAAGTGTTTCAGTTTCACAAGAATTTCATAAAATAACGAAAACGTTTTGCTGTTTCCTTGGATTGGAACAGATCAAGACTAGAACTCATTGCCAAATGAACTTAAAGATATTAGTTCTCTAGCGACCTTTCAAAGAAAAATCGCTTCCCACTTTCCCAAAACAAATATGTACTCAATTAATTGTAAATATCTTTCTAACCTAGCTATACTTCATTTATTGTACATTTTAGTGTCTTGTGTATCGTAAAATGTAAGTAGTTCACTATTGTATTGTAATTTTCATTTTTGCACACGCCCCATGTGGAAATCAACTTGTATGTTGACAAAGGTAAGCGTGTTGAAATAAAATTATCTGTCTATCTATCTATCTATTTCGAAAGACTTCTTTTTGCCAGATCGAAGCAAGACAAAGCAGTTGAAAAGGAAACAGTGCTGCCAGATGAAATTTAAATAAGTTCATGTCGGCTTGTTCAAAAGTTCACATATTATCCACCAATGTTCATAAATCGACAAAAATTGCATAGTTTGCACCAAATGAATGAAATAAGCTAAATCACATGTAAATTTATAATGATGCACATTGCACATTTGTACAAAATAACAAAAAAAAAACAATGAAAAACAATTATTTAGTTCGATTTAGATTTGTCGCTTGAGTCAGAGTCTAAAGAATGTCGGTTGTCATATGACTTAAAGCATTGGTTGAAGAAGAATATTTGACACAGCCTTCTGACTCTTTCACTCCTTGCTTAACTTTTAGAACACTGCAGATTGAAGAATGAATTATGCTTTGTCTCGAATCTCTAAACCAGTGTATATTCATTGTAAGCAACCTTGTCGTTTATAACTGATAAGTTCATAAAAAGTTTTTAATTTTTAGAAAAAGTTGATGAAATGTTCACAAAATTCTTTCTGTTCACAAAAATTCAAAATAAAAATCAAAAGTTCATAAATCTATGAACTTTGTTCACAATTTGGCAACACTGAAAGGGAAGAGTTATCACTCATCGAGAAAATTATTCCTCTAATCACATTCCCTGTTACTCACATTTACTCCTCATTTGTAATGGATGTTTTTTGAGAAACCACTAGCATGTTCCTAGTTACTCCAAAGTGCACCTTAATTACCTCCTATGCTCTTGTACCTAGTAACCATGAGAACAAAGATCAAATAAATAAATTTTTAGAAATTTTGCGTTTGTTTCTAACATTTGGTTTATTTGGGGGGAGAAATTTCAATAATATTTTAATAGCAACCGCAATTTTCTTCGTAATGTTCACAAGCAGTGCCAAACGCAAAACGCCGGTCGAACGTAAGGATATATACAGTTTACGGCCATTACCGACCAGAGGATGATTCGTCTAACGTCGTAACCACTACTAAGACCACCACTAAGACTTTCAGCCAAAGACTTATAGAAGATCGAACAGGTTTGAAATGTTGCTCGCTGAAGCTTGTACTCTTAACGATGTTTCTTACTGTTTTAATGGAAGTTTGTGACCTACCCGCCGAGAAGTCCAGCAAATGCGTTTATTCATTTCAACTTCATTTTATGCATGTATCGATAATGCTGGCAGTCCGAAGTCGAAAGGCAGTTGGAGGATCAAAATGCTGGTATACCAATGGATTTTGGTGTCGAGTAATGGAGCGAAGGCTGGAAGAAAACAGTCGCTCTTCCAACAACAGCAAAATCAACTACACAAAACAGTTTTTACTGTCTTGAGGCGATTCATATATTTTTCTTAGCTAATGATCTTCGAAGACCAAGGTTCTTTCTACAGAGTTCTTTCTACATTAGGAACTTTGCTCGTAGAACGAAAGGCGATGCAAAGCCGAACGGATCATATACCGAGCTGATAATAGCCAATATCTCTCTACTAGATGGCGGTTTTTCATTCAGCTGAATCCGAAATCCAAATTCATCATGGCTAATGTTCCATAGAACACCAAGCGCTCTTTTGATAGATACCTTGTGAAGGCAAAGATCCCTAACTGATTTTGCTCGTTCCATATCCGGCATGCCACCACCGTCGCTGAATTTGAAACGAAATCCACCCTTGTTAAACGAAATCCACCTTTGTTAAACGAAATCCACCTTTGTTAAACGAAATCCACCCATAGCAAGCAGTTTTCGAAGATCACTGGCTAATGTTATTGCCTTATCTTCATCTTTTACAGATTTAAGGCAATCAACAACGTAGAAGTTACGCTTGACTGTATTTGTAACTATGTTTTCAAATTTGTTGGTGTTATAGTCTGCAGTTTTGCGCAGAGCAATATTGGAGCAACTTGGCAAAGAGGTCGCTCCAAACAAATGAACCGTCATTTGAAATTCTTCGGGTTCTAAGCCCAAGTCATTCTGTGGCCAGCATAAGAAGCTCAGAGGGCATTGCAATCTTCATGATGAACATTTACTAGATAGAACATAGATTCAATGTCGGCCATTAGGGCTATGGGCTCCTGTTTAAATCGAGTAAGAACACCGAAAAAATTATTCGTCAAGTGCGTTCCCTGTAGTAGTTGTTCATTGAGGGAAGTTCCAGACGGTAGACCGCAGCACAATTGAACACAACGCAAAGTTTGTCTGGTTTGTTCGAACTAAAGACTGGGTGATGAGGAAGGTACCATATTGCTTCATGGAACTTATTTAATGTATCAGCACGGACCTTTCGTGCAAACTGTTTCTCAAACAGGTTATCCATGAATTCAGCATAATTCAAGAATAGTTAGGGTCCTTCAACAGCCTTTTCTTCAAAGGAGTTAAACGATGTTCAGCCAAAAGTCTAATTTTTGGAAATCTAGGAGGAAAACTTTTCCATGGCATGGCAATTTCATAATGCTCATTACGAAGACGAATTGTGGAATCCATAATATTCACCGCACGTATATCTTCTTGAGACATTTCTACTTTGTTGTTGTATGAAGCATCATCGAGCTCAGCACAGCAGAACTTCTTAAGCTTTTCACTCAGCTCATGATCGGATTGAATGTAGTTATTGAAGTGTTTGGTCCAATTGTTTCTCCCAAGAAGACCATTTATTGTCCATCCAAAGATAGTTCTCACAGCATATGGACCCTTACCATGCACTCTCTAACTTCTTTAGGCTCCAACGTTTTAGGTACATCATTTCCAATGAGGATGCCAATAGAGGCATTGATGTTTGTTAGAGTAACACCCTTAAGATGTGGTCACCGATCGACGTCTGCTTGCGTTGGAATGCTAGACACGTCGACTGGAAGCTTTTCTGTATAAAACACCGGAGGACGCTCAATTATGTTTATTTCATTCAAATCAAACACTTCTAATTTAACAACGTGACATTCTGTTAAAGTGTTTTCATTCCTTAAGGTAGTGAGTGAAAGAATAGTTTTCTTTCCAGAAATACTAAGCTGTTCTAGCAGTTGGTTCGTGCAAAATGTCGTGTTCGATCCAGCATCAAGAAAGGCGTATGTTTTAATTGTCTCCACCAAATCTCTACATTTGACTTTAACGGGCACCATCTCCAACCCAGTCGAGGGGATTCCGGCTCCATTGGGATCGCGTCGACAAACACCAACGCTGGCAACCGTTGCTGTTGATTATCGTCTGGGGGCCTTTACTGGTTCCATCCGATGCCTTATGCAATGAGCAGCTCTCCACAGCAAAGTTCTCAACTACGGGATGCAAAAATGTCGAATGCTTCTCTTGACATCACAAAACCTTGCAAAAGCTCTCCTTTGGGCAAGTTCTAGCAATATGACCTTTTACGAAACAATTATCGCAGAGACCCTTTTTTCGCACTATTCTTTTTCTGTTCCCAAGAGTTTCTTTCTTGAACATATCACATGGAGATAACCAATAATTACCATGACACATTGGACATCTAAGAAAATTTTCAGCTCCAGTTTCGAGTTCAACTATATTTGATTATTGATCGTTTCCAGGGTCCTTTCCAATTGTTCCGAAGGCATACCACCCTCAAGGACCTTTAGGAACTTGAGCAATTCTAACTTTTGAATCAATATTAATCTTGCCGAAAATAGGATGATTTAATGCTCTCGCTTTCATCTCGACAAGTCTTAAGATGTCTTCGAAGGTTACCTCTCATTTTTTATTACTTGTTATATCGTCTGCTATGTCACACCATTTTTGTCTCATAGAATAAGGCAAATTACTGATAATATTTTGCGAACTATCCAAATTGTCAAGTTTTTTGAGGTAACCTATTTCTTTAAGTGTGTTTTTGCAGCTGATAAGCAATACAGAGAATCTTGGAAGTGCTTCGCCATCTTCAGCTCTGATTATAGGTACCTCCATTATTCGTTGTAAGTAGGCCGTAGCTATTTTATAATTTTGACCAAAATCTCCTTCAAAAGTTTCCTTGCGACTAGATATCCTTCTTTGTGGACCATTGACAAGCAACTTCGCATAAGCTCCTGAACCTCACCACATGTGTATTGAACTGAATAATACAAACGTGTATTACTGCTAGTTGTTTTCGCTTCAATAAGATTTTCAAACGATCGTACAAAATGACAATATTCAACAGGATTTCCACCAAATGTTGGTACTTGAGCGTTAGGTAGTGACATTGAAAAAGCCTATTATTGGTGTTGACCAACCAGTTCCTGTAAATCATTGTCCCAGTTGCATTTTCAGTACCCGTTGACTTTGCTGCTACTGTTCATTTTGCATATCCAACATATCGTGCAAGAAATTTTTTGCTAGTTGTGAATCATCCAAACTTCCAATCTTTGATGCGTCTAATTCGTGAAGACTTCCGCGTTACGACCAATTTTGGTTGTTCCTGCGAAACATGAGACCTTTATGAGTTTCATCTCGTGTTGGTGCATTTGCGCCAGCATCTTAAGGGAGTGGTCGAGAAGTTGCCAGTATTGGTTGAGTGTGGTTTTCGCAGTTTGTTTGCCAACATGGAACTTTATTGTATTTAACGTTTTCTGTTAGCATCCTCCTGCCCTATTTCTGCCTCAATTCTCCCCTATTTCATAAGAATCTGTTTGGTCTACTCGTGAAGACAATCGGGCAAAAGCTCCATAAGTTCCAGCTACACTGTAAGCCACTTCTTCTGCTTGAACTTTCGCTATTTCAGCCTTCAGCTGTAGTTGGTGTCTCCTTTGTTTGAGGCCCATTTTTTCTTCTTCGTGTCGTTGTCGGTGAATCAAGTTTTTATATTTTAAGTGAAGCTTTTGTTCGTCTAAAGATGATAATCCTCCAAAGCAGTTGCTTTGAATATCAAAGCTGCTTTCTTTGCAGCCATCATTGGTGTCGTTGTCGGTGAATCAACTTTTTATATTTTAAGTGAAGCTCTTGTTCGTCTAAAGATTGATGTTCCATCAAAGCATTTGCTTCGACTATCAAAGTTGCTTTCTTTGCCGCCATCATTGGTTTTCCATTTAGGCTATTTGACCGGGCTTTGGATCTATATAAACTTGTAATTGAACTAAGTGGTCTAACACGGCTCTACTACATCGATGGTTAATTTGTAAACTCTCGCAGCCATTCGTTTAAGGTCCTTTGAAAATTTTCAATTCTTTGTTGTTCGATTTGAAGGTAGTCGTTTGAGTCTTGGTGATCATAATCATCTTCTATTGTAGCATGATGACGCTCGTGGGAGTTGTAAAATCTATTTACAACTTCGTTGAATTGTTTGCTTCGCTCAAGCTTCGAAAGCTCAATTTTGATTTGGTTAACTCCTTCATCTTTTTTGTAAATGCAGATCGTTTTCTTGGTAGTTGTTCAGATGTTTCGAGAGTTGAAGGTTCTTCTTCCCTGGTGAGAGCTGGGGTGGTTTGCTTTGTTTGTTCATTACTCATTACGCTCTTCGCTTCGTTGTTAGATTCAGCCATTCGGGGATCGTTAATTAAAAACAGGGCTTCGTCGATATATCAGTTGATGAGGATAAATTCTTTGAACTTTTTGTAAAATTCGACTAAGGGCTCAACCATTCTCTGCCAAGTTTCTGATACTTTGAGACGCGCATTACTTTATTACGTACGATTTAACTAAATAATTACAAATAATTCTAACAAATGCATTAAAAAGAAGGGATAAATTCATCTAACTCCTTACAGAATTTACAGCGTTACTAGGCAGAGAAGTTCATTTGATCTTATTCAGACGACAGTTTGATGCCAAATGTCTGTCGTCTCCCATCTGACATCAGAACCGGAAACGTTTTGAATCCAACACAATGTATGTTAATATATTTCACAAACACCAAGATAAGACACATTTAGCCAATGTTGCGATCTCCCAGCGTATTTAACGGAATAAATTTCGGTAAATATTTATTAAACATTGCTAGTATCGATAGCAATCATTGTCATCAATGTAGAAACACAGACAACACACGCATTTGTACTTCTCCTACCTGTGGTTACACTGCCAACCCAGATTATGAAGGCCTATGTTCTGTTTGTTTCATCAAATTACATACAAAATTTTAAGAGAGGTCAGTTATGGTAGCCCTATCAGGCAAGAATCAACATCGAATGTGGAAGCAGTCAAGACAAGATGTCTGACTAAAGATTGTCAATTCTTCGGCATCCCAGAGAATGATAACTTGTGTTCACAATGTTACGCAAAGGCATTGCAACTTGAGTATGACTTAGAGTCTGAAAAGAAGATCAAAGCTGAATAAGAACGAGCTAGAAGGAGCTGGCAAATAGCACAACAGCAAAAGAATACAAATCATGACTTGCACAGGCTTTATTATGTAAATGAATCCCAATATTATCAGGTAAATATTTGTTGTTGAATTAACTAAACAAAGAAATTTCTCACAAAATCTCTAGAAATCAATAAATTGTACTCATTTTTGCCAAAAATCTTTTATCACATTTGCAACCTCATGTATAGAAGAATTGTTTATATTTTAGATAATTGTTGAGAGACAAAGTGTTTCAGCACCTTCGTCACCAGTATAAAGGCGACCATCAAAGTTAATACCATGTGTAACTAAAGGTTGTGGATGTTTTGGTACAGAAGAAGATCAGGGTCTTTGTCATAAATGTTTAAACAAGAAAGAAATGCTTTTCTTAGAATAGACAGTTGGTGTGAACAGTTTTCAACAAATTTTGTTTCAATGAACAAGAAATATTGTCATTCTATAAGGTTTAAATCCTCATATCTAAAGAACTGTCTTGATATTAGTAATAAAGTAATATATTCGCTTCCTTATATATGTAGATATGCACTTCGTACGTGTGGCTATAGCCTCATAATAACGACGTCTTTTCTCGTTTATAAAATTTCTGCACTTAACTGATAATTTATTCTTCGAATATCATGTTAAAAGCGATTACAAATACTCAATTTATGATAATGTTCAATAATCAAGGGTGCTAGTGCATTTTCGTGAATTAAACAATGATAGACAAAGCTGGTTTCCTGAATTTTACGGTACAAGAGAAGTAACTTCAGTTAGTAGTGATTCACTCAAATTTGGCATACCTTTTCATAAGACAATTTTGTTCTTCTGTACGACGCAAATAAACAAAAAATCACAGACGTAAGTTTGTCAAAGGTGTACTACATTTGTACTTTTAAGCGTCCATTACAGTTGTCTAGCTGTCACAAATTTTCTTATGCGTAAAAACATATGTGACAGCCCTTACAAAAATATTTTATAGAGCACTACATTGAAGCAATGTATTGGATATTCAATGGAGTATTCTACAGTATAATCATGGGCCCGAAGCACAATCGAACTTTGGAGCCCTTCGTGTTCCACGAATATTCGGACACATTACAGTTTTTCATTGCCCTCGATCTCTTTGTTTGGCTCTGCCTGTGTCGGAGGCAATTTGCCCCCTTCTCTGAACGTCCCTGTTTTTAATTATGTGTATAGGTAATACGAGAATTTAGGACGGTTTGCTGAACAGTTGCGATCGAGAATCTGTACTAATCTTCCATGGAATTTAAAATTTAACATATACTTTAGTTATTATAATATAATTTTTTTAGTGTTAAATATGCCTTCTCGTTCATTGTATGGTGTTTAGACTATGATGGCCAGCGTTATAAGTTGGCTTACACATTTCCAAGAACTTAACAAATGCAACAAATTTTTACATTACAACCACCTTTTCAGAAAAAAAACCCAGCCACCACAACACATTACTATCAACAGCGACCACTACAATATTAATGACAATCCAATCCATATTCACTATAAATGCAATTATGCAAACAGTTCTTTTAAATACACTTTAAATTGCAAATTTTAAAATATGTTATACGATTTTCATAACAGGAACCCGAGTCGTTATGGAACTGCAAAGAAGTATTTCTTCAATAGATGTTGCAACTTCGGAAATTATTCGTGACTCAATTGATGGGGATGTCACTATCCCGGCAGATCAGGGAAATCATCGATTCTTATTGACATCATCGCGATACACTTTTTTGTTCCCGAATCTTTCTTGTTTCAATAGAGATTTTCAAGATTTTCTGTACGCAACCTTAGTAAGCATTGCTCTTGAAAATAAGTTGGAAAACAACAGCTCTCTCAACTGGTGTAAAATTCTACCGAAGTTTATTCCTATAAACACTTTAAGCGATGGAAATTCTTTGATGCATGCAGCTTCACTTGGGGTATTCATGACCGAAGATTAACGCTGAGAAAAACTGTTTATCAAGTTCTGATTGAAGACCAAACAGGTTTGAAAACTTTACTCACGGATTTGATGATGCTGTTTTTATAAAACGGTGAAAATTCACTATTAAAAATTAGTTAGCAGTACGAATTATATCAATTTGAACGGAAACTCTGTTTTGATGACAGATGCTCGTAGCAACGCACCCGCGTTGTCTTGACAACGAAGTGTTAAAAAACAAGGAGCGTTTGTTTTTTATTCATCCAGTAAGAAATTAGTTTACAAAACTCTTTTCTAACTTCTTTATACTTAACTTCTTTCTACTACCTTACATTTTTTTGATTTAAACTATTTTTAAAAATATTTTATCAAATTTTCGGCCAAATACTGCAGCTTTCTTCAGAAATAAACCAGAAGAACATGATGATTTCATATATTGAGCTATCTATCTTATTCACAATGAAATGAACGATTCACAAAAGAAATAATTAGAATATATATTCTATAAGGCTCCGTTTACACTGTACCGGATTACTATCGTAGCAGGTTAAATTTCTTTTGTACTAAAAGGCAGTGAATTTGTTTAACGTCAGAAACACAATCAAATAGACTAAATTTATCAACTTAATAAACTTTTATTCTGTACAGTTACCCCTTTAAAGCAAATGAAGATGTCGTGATAGTGTAAATGCAGCTATAGTGTGTGATCTAAGAATAATAATTCATTAAAATGTTTCATTGAGTGAAAAAATAGTGCTTAAAATAAACAAGTAATTACATCATAGTTGGTTCTTTAGGGAACTCGTTCCCATGGTTTGACATTTTACATAAATTCTCTGTTAAATGAAACAACTAGAAAAACCATGCGCGCTTAATAACTATGAAGTAATCTCTATATCTTAGTCATTTAAACTTCAATTTAGGCATGTATCAGAAACGCTGGCAGTCAGAAGTGAAAAGGCAGTTGGAGGATCAAAATTCTGGTATACCAATGGATTTTGGTATAGAGCAATTGTATGAAGACTGGAAGAAAACTGTTGCTCTTGCATCAATAGCAAAATCAACCCAAAACCATAGTTTTTATTCTCTTGAAGAGATTCATATATTTGCCTTAGCTAATATTCTGCGAAGACCAATTCTGGTGATATGTGACGATTCTCATCGTGGTGCTGGTGTAAACCTTGGTGGCATATACTTACCACTGTTGTCAGACTCCGTGGATTGTATAAAAACTCCTCTTTTGATTGGCTATCACCATGGACATTTTACAGCACTTGTGATGGGAGAAAATAATAAGAGAGGGCATACATTGGCCGATCACAAAATGGTGATGGGAGTACCATTAATGAAACATAATGGCCAGCCTATGAAACTCCGTTGTTTGTTACCAGAGGAAAGAAATTACTCTGATCGTCTAAAATGGGAATATTTAAACTGTTTAAAGTTACATTACACATTTGACAATGAGTGTGAAATGAAAATACTCGTCGCTGAAATAAAAGGTTGTGAACAAAATCCACATGTTTATGGAATGTTAAAAAGATATTTTAAATCAATGGAAGATATACATTTGGAAACATTGACATTGAATCAGCTATCACTTAATGACCAAAGGACAATCACATCATATTCAACAAAACATGAAGGCCATTTTAAAAATAGTAAAGAGCAGAAACCATGTGCCAAGATTAACTGCAGAAACATTGCCAGTATCAATAGCAACTATTGTCATCAATGTAGAAACACAGACAACACACGTATTTGTACTTCTCTTGGCTGTGGTTATACCGCCAACCCAGATTGTGAAGACTTATGTTCTACCTGTTACACAATATTTAAATCTTTACTACACGAGGGAACAAAGACGGCAACTCCTTCAGCGTCACCTAATGATAGATGTTACAATAACTGTGTGAACAAAGGAAATGATGACCTTCGCGGCCTGTGTTATGATTGGTATGGAGAGAAATTTCTAAATTATCGTTCTTCAGCAAAAAAAGATGTCGGACAATCCACATCCACTGTGCAAGACAATACAACTAGAAAAACAACAAACAGTAGAAGGAAAGATGAAAAGAAATTTCATGTTGTTGAAGCAAGTTCATCCACGCGCTCAGTTAACGTTGTATCCCATCCAAACTGTGCGAAAATTTTGCCAATTTCAAGGAAAGTGGAAACGGTCGAGAGAAGATGTCTGACTAAAAAATGTCTGTTCTTTGGTACTCCAGAGAATGAAAACTTGTGTTCACAATGTTATGCAAAGACTCTAAGACTAAAGTCGGAAAAGAAGTCTCAAGGCAGAAAAAAAACGAGATGAAAAGAACAGGAAAATAACGCAACAAGCCATGCTTTGCACAGGTTTCATTACGAGAATGAACCTCGTTATCAGGTGAAGGAATTGTTTGCCAACTTTTCAATACCACCTAGAGGAGGGTTTTTATTTTTTAGTCAATTTTCGTGGAGAAAAGTGCTTCAGCATCTTCATCACCAGCTCAAAGGCTGTGAATGTTTTGGAACAGAAGAAAATCAAGGATTTTTTTATAAATGTTTTGAGTCAGGGAGTATCCGTTACTGTTGGTGTTGATGTAAATCATCCAAGTTAGTAAAGTCCTGAGAAGAACTGTAACTGTTGGTGTTGATGTTAACTGACGTTTTGACAACCTTAGCGGCAATTGACTCTGAAGATGACTACCGCTAAGGTTGTCGAAACGTCGGTCAACATCCACACCGACAGTTATTCTCAAGACTCTACTAACCGGGACGATAAACAATCGACATTTATAATATGAAACATGACAGAAAACATGTTGTGCAATAAAAAGAATAAAAAAATTTTTGTTTCAATAAACACGAAAAAAGTATTGCCATTATATTGGCATAGTGGCTGTTTAACAGAATTGTATCGATATTAGTAACTAATAAAGTAGCTATTAAATTAAATGTATTTACTTACTTATATAAATGTTGGTATACATTGGATGTGACAAACCTCATAAAAGTTCCCATCTTTTCTTATTCATATCTTATATATTTTCTTCATATCATCTCACAAAATATGATCACATCGTAAATACTAAATTAATAGCTCTGAGCTGGAGCATCCATAATCAAGTGCTAGAACAGTAATAATTAATAAAATTAGGGGCCCACATTGGTTTCCTAAATTTTACTTGCTAAAGAAACTAGCTATGATATTAGTAATGGTAATGACCCACTTCTGTATGTCTTTTCCTAAGGGCCTGTTTATATGGAGCCGAGTTACCCGGCTGAGCGAGTTACTCGCCTAGCCGGGTAAATCGGCCCTTATATAAAATGTATGCATTTCCCGTGAATCGTTTATATTATACATCCGAGTTACTCGCTTTGCCGGGTAAATCGGCCCTTATATAAAATGTATGCATTTCCCGTGAATCGTTTATATTATACATCCGAGTAACTCGCTTTGCCGGGTAAATCGGCCCTTATATAAAATGTATGCATTTCCCGTGAATCGTTTATATTATACATCCGAGTAACTCGCTTTGCCGGGTAAATCGGCCCTTGTATAAAATGTATGCATTTCCGTGAATCGTTTATATTATACATCCGAGTAACTCGCTTTGCCGGGTAAATCGGCCCTTATATAAAATGTATGCATTTCCCGGTGAATCGTCTATATTATACATCCGAGTAACTCCCCTTGCCGGGTACTCGGTTTGTGTAAGCGAGTTACCCGGCTAGGCGGGATGAATTTTTCCATATAAACGCATTTGCCGGGTAACTCGGCGAGGCAAGAAAATTGGCTCTGTTGGTACCCATGCGTACTAAGCCTTCTACATGCAGCATTATTATTCATAAACATAAACATATCATAATTTTCAATTTTATATTCACCCATTCCATTTTTGCTGCGAAACTGTGAGACTTTTTAAAATCTCGCGCCTTTACTCCAAGTTAGCACTACCAAACTTCATTTAAGACAAATGAACGGAAGTACTAGCCGAGTTACCCGGTGCCATATAAATAGATCACTTTGTCAAACCCGGTTGAGCGAGTAACTCGCTCAGCCGGGTAACTCGGCTCCATATAAACAGGCCCTAAGATGATTTTGTGTTTTCCTTACTACTCAAATCACAGACATCATATTTCATTTTAAGACGACTTTGTTGGATTGAGAGACTGATAATGAATTTGTTCAGATTCTTAAAAACTACATCTGGTCTTAATACACAACATGAGACTCACTGGCTATAAGTTTTTTTTTATCAAACAGAATAATTGCAAATCTGTATTGACGGCAAAAGAAATTTTTCAAGAGGCTAGAAAAATTGCTCATATGTTTGAACTGGCAATGTTGTGGAAATCAAGCTTATCATAGCGTCAGCATTTTCAATTTCAAGACCTTTTATTTGAGAGGAATACTTTTTTCTAATTTCGCAGGATTTAATGAAGGAGTAAAACGAAAATTGCAGTTGAGTGTATTCAGTGATAACAAATATGGCAAACCAATGTTAAAAAGCCAAAAACAAAAGCTGTTAATGGAACGTCACATAATTTTAAGATAAACTCATTGGCATTTTCACAGAAAGGATTAAGCAATAAAGCTACTTTAGCAATTGCTTTATTGCTTAATCCTTTTCATCATTTTACATAACTGTATAATGACATGTATACAAGCCATGACTCAGATTCGTTACAACAACGAAGAATATTGGCATTTATATAATATAAGCATTTGGCAAAGCTGAAGAAATTGGCATTTTCACAGAAAACTACTTTATTGCAATTGCATATAGCAATTGCTTTATTGCTTATTGCGATACTTCCTGCCAACGAAAAGACTTTACAGATCATTTCACAACGCTGGAGAGGAAAAAACTTTGTTGAAACATAAACGAATTAAACTATGGAAATTATTTGTTGTCTGATAAAAACAATCCGTCTAATTCTTATCAAAGATGTTACAGGTAAGGAACTCGGGTGTGTGATCAGGAACACGCAAAGAACAAATAAGTCCTTATTCATTTAAACTTCATTTTAGGCATGTATCAACAACGCTGGCAGTTGGAAATCGAAAGGCAGTTGGAGGATCAAAATGCTGGTACGCCAATGGATTTTGGTGTTGAGCAATGGAGAGAAGACTGGGAAAAAACAGTCGCTCTTGCAACAACAGCAAGTTTTTACTCTCTTGAGGGGATTCATATATTTGCCTTAGCTAATGTTCTTCGAAGACCCATTCTTGTAATATGTGACAATTTTCATCGTGGTGACTGTGATGAACCAATTTCTGGTGTAAACCTTGGTGGCATATACTTACCATTGTTATCTGACTCCGTGGATTGTATCAAAACTCCTCTTTTGATTCGCTACCACCAAGGAAAATTTACAGAGCTTGTGTTGACAGAAAATAATGAAGGAGTATCATTAATGAAACTTGATGTTCTGCCTATGATACTCCGTTGTTTGTTACCAGAGGAAAGCAATTACTCTGATCGATTACTACGGGAATATATGAACTGGTAGCGAAAACGCAAGCCTGTCATATTGTGGCTAAAATAGATAAGCACTGTGTACATGTGGATAGCCTTGAATGAACGCTGTATTAACGATATAAAATATACAAGACATTCAAAAACTTTAAAAAATATTTTTAGTGAGCTTCCAAGGTGTAATATATTATTCAGTCCAAGATGACTAAAAAAGCGTTTTTACTTGAGAAATGCTCTCTTATGTACACGAGCTTCCCTTTTAAGTAGTCATTATACATACCTTATTTATATTAACTATTTATACAAACATTAATTATGCTAACTATATTAGGGGGTGTTTACATGAATCCGGAATGACTTTCAATCCCGATCGAAACGTGATGTCAATCCGTGTTTACATGAAACTAATTGTTGTTTTTCTTCGCACTCATTTTAACCCATTTAGCCTCTTTATTTACATACGAGCTTCAATTTGCCAGAAGACAATACCCATGGCACATGCGTGCTTCGTCATTAATCACAATATCATTCCAGAATGAAACTCAATTCGCGTTTACATGATTCAGCGTTTTTGCTACAAGTATTTTCTTCCGTCATACACCTATTTTCATCAGTGTAGTTCAAGGGTTCATTCCAACTCAAAACAGGGGACTCGAACATCAAAGCTTCCGACATGAAGTGGCACTTCTGTATGTATCTATTCTGTGGAGAAGTGTCGTCGCTGCTTTTGATTGCATTAACCTATGGAAAAAATTTAGAGATTAATATGGAAAGAAATTACTCCGAATGAAATAACACGCAAACCGAATGAAACTGCTTCGAATGAAATGCTCAACAAAAGAGAGTTTCATTGGCGGATAGCCTTAAAGGCTGAAACACACTGGGCAGTCGCTTCAGTCGCGCGTCCAAAGCGAATTGATGCGCACGCGTCAGTCGCTTGAACGCTAGAAACACACATGCAGCGACCATCGCGACATTTACCGTGGCGTCTATTGAACATGGCGGTGATTTTAGTTTGTTACAGACACAGATATCACTTACACTTTTTATTTTGGCCTTTATTATAGCTACTAATATATGAATATTTACTCAGTACAAACTACTATGTGGAGAAAAGAGAACAAGCCAGTTAAAACACGCCAATATGATCATAGCCCATTACGTGTATGTCGTGGAGAGTCTTATTCTGTGTATTTAGGTTAATGTGTTTCAGTTTGTAGCTCCTATTGTCCCTATTTGATAAGTCATATAAAAACTAAAAGATTCCAGTGTGAATTCACTATATATTGCCTTCGTTTTCCAAGGTATAATCTATAAATTTCGTTATGATGCTTATGACAGGAAATATGATATGCATTTAGCAAGTTAAAATGTATCTATTGGCCAATCAGTGTAAAGCGACTGAAGCGACCAAAGTCAAAAGTTCAACATGTTGAACTTTCAAAGCGACTAGCTGACGCGACTACGCTATTAGCTTAGTAACCACGCAAAGCGGTAGTTTTAGACGCGCGACTAAAGCGACTGCCTAGTGTGTTTCAGCCTTAAGTAACTTAGGCCAAATCATCTTTTTGTAAAAACGCTCACGTTTCTCAATTGTATAATACGTAGTATACCTGGTATGAAATTCTATGTTATTCCACTATTATTCCACAGAAGGTCTTTTCCAGGATAAATTTTGGTCAACATTTAAAGCTAATGTTTTACTTTCTGAAACCTGTGTTATATTTTTTATCGACTTTAATGTTAAATTTAGAGACTTTTCTTCTATTTAGCATTAGTTTTGAGTCGATTACCATGAATTCAGTTTTATCAACATCGAGAGTTAAGCATGGTTACTAACTCTGAATTCATGATAGTTTCGACATCAGTAACTGTTTCATCACTTGCAGTTAAGTAGGTTTGTCTCGTCCCCAAACAACCATTCGAGATGATACGTATATGGAAAGGGAATGATAGGCGTTTATTACATCGCGACAAAAAGTGCCTTCTATTAAAACACGATTCGATTCATACGAATAGAATGTACGTTTATAAATAACATGTTTATTAATAGCATGTGCATCAACCATCGAATCAAACTACGTTGTAAACTCGGTCACATTCACAACAAAGTTCCTCGTCGACTCGAGAAATACAGAAGAGCCAACTGTCGCTTGATAGACTTTATACGCAAGTGACAAAAAGAAATATGCAATATATAAATCGTTTGAGCGCGGTGTTCTGTAAATTTTAGAGATTTAAGCCCAGGCCACACTATCGTCTATATTCACGAAAACGAAAACAAAACGAAAATTCGTGCACGAAGTACATGCCAGATACGACGTAAAATTGCACGCATGTTTACAAAGATCGGCTAAAACGCAAACGGTAATTATTGTTGGATGTGCTTATGTAGTAGCCTTTGCAGTGACAAAACAAGCAAAAAAGAAAAGGTGTCTTCTGGCAAAAAGGTACTCCTTCTGAAGTTGAAAGCAAGCATTTAGCAAGATACTAGATTCACCTCGTGCCATCCTGCCATCTTTGTGTAGTAAAGTTTTAGATTATTAGCCAATTGCATGCGTTTTCGTTAACGAAAAAGTAAAAAATTCAACTCTTCTAATTTGCACGAAAACGAAGATTTTCGTTGATATGGAGGATAGTGTGGCCTAGGCTTTAGATTCAGCGCACAAACGAGTAAAATACGATACACGCGTTCTGCGTATCTTACAGCAAAAAAATGCTTTGTCGAATGAAACCACTTTTTATTTAATACGGAGTAAATAGACAGTTGGTAAATAGACAGTTGGTGTGAACAGTTTTCAACAAATTTTGTTTCAATGAACAAGAAATATTGTCATTCTGTAAGGTTTAAATCCTCATATCTAAAGAACTGTATTGATATTAGTAATATCACAAAAAATTATATATTGATATTGTCCTTAAGTTGCTAAAGTAATTTTAATTGGCATGTCCTAAACAAAGAAATTGTTTGTCTCATTACTTGTTCGTTTACTTGTACCAAATAATTCAGCAATCTCTGCGACTTTATTCTGCGATGATATTGCCTTATTTCCTGGTGGAATGCACGTGTCCGTGTTCCATTTCCGTCAGGAACCATTTCCTCAAACATACATCGTCAGGAAACATTTAATAAGACAGTTCTGCCGCACGTCTTTTTGTAAGTTTCAACAATGATAATTTGATTTAGCTTGCTTGCGTGACTTGATTTTACAACTGAAATGTCGAATAAAAGATGGCAACGTTTTTGTGCAAGAATATTCTTCATTGACTTAATTATTGTGCAATGGAAAAATTTTTGTTTACCGAAACACTTTTGGGCAATATAAAAACAGAATTCTTTTCATCATCTTAACATCTCAACATCATCTCAACATCTCAACAACATCTCATCATCTCAACAACATCTCATCATCTCAACATCATCTCAAATCATCTCAACAACATCTCATCATCTCAACATCATCTCAAATCATCTCAACATCGATGACTACACAGCTAATATAAGTAAATAAATTGATGTATTAATGACGTTGGAAATTATGAATACAAAGATCTTTATGAGTTAATACAAAGAAACCAATAGTAATAACAAAAACGTCCTCGCCAAGATCCACTTGCTGGTTTGCACTAGGTTCAGACCCCAACGATGTAGAAGAGAAGAACTTTGATAGAAAGAAAAAGATAAACGCATTAAACTATGGAAATAATTTGTAGCACACTTATTTTCGCTTGTGCTTGTCTGATAAAAACAATCTGTCAAATTCTTAGATGTGATAGGTAAGGAACTCGGGTTTGTGATCAGGAACACGCGAAGAACAAATAATTGACAGATTCAATAGTTCGTAAATTTGTAATATCATCATAAACGTGAGCACGTTATTTTTTACAACTATATGCAATTTGAGAGAGAGTGTACAGACAGTAGAGAAAGACAAAGATCTTAGTCTTTTGACTGATTTTACACAATTCATCTTTCTCGCATTCAAATCAAAGAATATTATCATCATACATTAACGTAATCATACAAATTGGCATATATAGTAACAAACGCGTTGCATTATTTTAACTTTCTCAACGTACAGAATTACTGTGTATTTGAAAATCTTAAGAGTATACAAAGGCAGTCGAAATTTATTTTTGAATGTCTTGTATATTTTATATCGTTAGAATTAACAGAGTCCATGCAAGGCTTTCCACATGGTATTTTAGCCACAAGTATCACAGGCTTGCATTTTAGCTACAAGTATTTCCGTTATACACCGATTTTCATCAGTGTAATTCAACTTTAAACAATTCAAGTATTCCCGCAGTAATCGGTCTGAGAAATTCCTTTCCTCAGGTAACAAACAACGGACTTTCATAGGCTGACCATCATATTTCCTTAATGAAACTCTCTCATTATTTTCTGCCATCACAAGTTCTGTAAAGTGTCCATGGTGGTAGCGAATCAAAAGAGGAGTTTTGATACAATCCACAGAGTCAGACAACAGTGGTAAGTATATGCCACCAAGGTTTACACCAGCAATTTGGTCATCATAGTCACCACGATAAAAATTGGCACATATTACCAGAATTGGTCTTCGAAGAATATTAGCTAAGGCAAATATATGAATCTCCTCAAGACAGTAAAAACTTGGTGTTGTTGGAAGAGCGACTGTTTTCTTCCAGTCTTCGTTCCACTGGTCGACACCAAAATCCATTGGGACACCAGCATTTTGATCCTCCAATTGCCTTACGATTCCCAGCTGCCAGCGTTGTCGATACATGCCTAAAAAGAAGTTTAAGGCATGAATAAGGACTTATTTGTTCTTCGCGTGTTCCTTATAACACACCCGATGACCTTACCTGTCACATCTTCGGTAAGAATTTGGCAGATTGTTTTTATCAGACAACCACAAACGAAAATATGTGTACTACAAGTTATTTCCATAGCTTAATGCGTTTATCTTTTTCTTTGTATCAAAGTTCTTTCCTTCTTTCCTTCTCCAGCGTTGTCTGAACCTAGTGCGAATCAGCAGCGACCTTGCTGTCAAT